CAATGTAATGTTAAAATATTGGATTCTAGCATTATTCATTATTGCATTGCACCCTTGATTTAAAAAAATGTGTTCAATGTGAATTATCTGCCAAAGAAAACAACTATCCGGAAAAAATGAATACATATGCATGGATTGTATACCGAACTAGCTTTACTACCTGGCTTCGCCCGGGACTTGAATTATTGTCTTGGATAAATTTAACATTCCCTTATATTTCACTGAAAAACCCTGAAAAAACGTATGCTTGCAAGAAAGAAAAAAAGCCGAAACAAATCAATTGAACTAAATTGCGTGTTTTTCACTGACGGAAATTCAACCTTAACCCACTTATACGTAAGGTCGATTTAGGCAACTCGAGAAGGGAATGACGTGGCGAGCTGAAAATAGTCGTGTTTCCTTAGAAATTCCTGACAGCACAAGCTGTGCAAATTTAATAACGTCAGAGCTCAGCGTTCGAGAGTTTTTGCTGCTTCACACAAACAGATGTATTTTCTGCTGTATATTTAAGAACGAGCTGATAATAGTCGCGTTGACTTAGAACATCGAGACAGCTATGCCGCGCATTTGTGCGGGATACACGGCCTACGTGGAGGGTTGGGGGGGGATGCGTGACGTCACAGGCACACTGCGTGACGCTGCCGCATGCGGGTGACATCACAGATGTGACACACCGCTCACTTGCTGTGCAAAATATATCCATTATTGCGCCCCCCCCCCCCCCCCCAAATACAAAAGAAAACTCTTATACTTTGTGTACAGTCTGGAAACTACCCACGTGCCAAATTTCAAGTTTGTTGCATGTTGGGAAGTATGCTAAACATTTCGAACAGACACACATATTCACAAATTTCCCTTTGATGTACTGTATATAGATTTTCTGAATTACGAGATGCTTCAGAGAGTAAACCACATCACTAACTTTGGAGTAATTTGAAGCTGCAGTGATCAAGTCCTGGTCCTTACAACAAATATCAAAGACAAGTGTAAAGTCCTTTGTTTACTAGGTCTCATGCTGAAGCTGACCAGAATCTTGTCATGCATCTGCAACTGAAGGATTCGTGTCGATCTGAATGAATGATGCATTAAACCTAGCTCCCTGAATAACAGGATTACCTAGGGATCTGTACTCATTCAAATACTATTCAACCTTTGCACGAGAAAGATGCCACAGACATAAATTCGCAAGTTCGTGCACGCGGACAACATGAGATCTTCAGATCGCCGACGTTTAGTAGTCCGAGGTCAAAGCTCATTTCCTGGGGTGATCGGGCTTTGTCAGTGCAGCTCCCACGCTTTGGACCGTTTTGCCTTTGCTAATAAGACAGAGTCGTATAATATATTGAAGTTTATATTCTTTGGGTCTTTCGGTAAAGCCACATAGATAGAATAAATAATAAAAGTATCACGACGTTTCGATCGCAACACAAGCAATCTTCATCACCTGGTGACGATTGCTTGTGTTGCGATCGAAACGTCCTGATATTTTTATTATTTTTTCTATCTACGTGGCTTTACCGAAAGACCCAAATAATATTAATTCCTACAGTCACGGAAGCTTTAAGTCAATATTTAAGTTTGCTTTGAAAACTCACCTCTTTAAATTGGCCTTTACGCCATAGTTCTGGAAAATTTACCCTGGTTCTGTTAATTTTCTACTTTCCATGCATACATGGGCGTATTGGGATCTACCGATGAAAAGCGTCTTACAACTGAAAATATAATGAGTATTATTAACATGTCCCTGGCTACACACTCCCACAGCCACGATGAGGTGGAGGCCACTCTCAACTCAGACTTCAACATCATGGCGGAGTTCTTCCAAAAGTGGCGATTAAAGCTAAACCCAAGTCAAACGATTGACTCGGTGTTTCATCTCGACACAAACACAGTGCCGACACCACACTCGATGTGACATTTTGTGACAAAAAGGTGCCACATGACCCAAGGCCGACCTATCGCGAAGTGACACTTTACTTTTTAAAATTAATATTTGAAAAAGGCCACTGCCATGACCAAGATAAGGGTCAATCTCCTTAAAAAGTTAGCTCATATGAGCTGAGGGGCAGATCCCTCAGTGCTTATACATTGGCCGTTGCCCTGGCAAACTCAAGTGCTGAGTACTGCGCTCCAGTTTAGGCAAAATGCTGCAATTGTCGACTAATCAACACCCAAATAAATATCACGATGTGGTCTCTGCGTACACTCACAGGGACTTTAATACATATGCTAATACTCTTCCTGTACTGGCTAATTTCAGTCCACCTAATATTCGCAGCAATGCTGCAACATTTTGTGAACTGCACCAAATGAAAGCTGACAAAATGCCAATCAACGATGATCTGAACATCACACGTCCATGGCTGAGCTACAGAAAGCCGTTTGTAAAAATGCACAAACTCTGCGTGACGCGAATTTAATTTGTGGCCTTCAAGTGTCCTAACTGAATTACAGTCGTTGCAACTATTTCGTTCGCTTTGTTTTCACACGCTTATATCTCGTAACGGATGTCCGTGTGTTTTGTGCGCAATGTGTATTCTATGTAAATAATGTGAGATAAACGTTACGCACACCCTCTCCGGTCCAGTCCCAGCACGCTGCATTCTCTCAAAGCGCATGTTTTTTGTATTATAGCCTCTCCCCTCCTCACTGCCAATCTCTACGGAACTAGCTCCGTCTCTCATCTCGCTTGACCGCCAAATCTCCCCGACCCCGTCCATATATCGACTCTTTATCCTCCATAGCCCTGCCCCTGTTTTATTCTCCTACCTTTGTTCTGGCTATTCTTTAATCCTAAGCCTCTGAATGGGTTTACGGGCGTACCTGGATATACATTAGATTGAGTTCTCGAAAACTTGAATGCAAAGTAAAACATTGTGTTGTATCTTGACACGTATTTTCACATAAGGTTCCATTTTATTACCAAAGATGCGTTCCTAAGAAAATATATTCCGACCCAAAACCTACTAAAATAACACGTTTGAACACAACTAAGTTATTTCCAGGCATAAATATGGACAATAACAAGACAGGTAATAAAAACAAATACTTCACACTGTAATTGAATAACCAGAAACTGCGGTGCACGTCGTGTGAGAAGTGGAGGGTGATTGGGAGGGTGAGGGAAACTTCTACGCTCCTCCAATACGCTCTTGGGGTGAACTTAGCAGTGGTCTGACCTACTGTGCACGGCTTGTAAACACGTGGTGACGCTACGGAACACGGCGGCTCAACTAGCCACCTGAAACCGCGTACTATCCACGCACAAACGACATAACGTGCATTTAATATAGGTGTAGTGGGTAATAATTGACGGAGAACTTCTTGTGAGGCAACACGATATGTATTTGGTTCTATTATACAAGGCCCCTAACACAAAGGGGTAGCGGCCCCCTTACCCGATACCTGGGGAGGTATGGCCTCCGGACTACACGGGCCCTAGCACTGGGAATCCCGATAACCTTCATCCTTCGGCTGGGGTCGACCGTACCAGGTCTTCGGGTCCTGACCACTGGCCTCACTGAGCTCCGGCCCTTAGAAGGACAATGGAGCTTGGGTCCAGGGTCCTAACTTCAGCCCAGGTCTTCAGTATTCGGCTTGGAGATGACAGACCCTTGAGAGGTCCGGCTTATATACTGGCTTGTGGCTTGCTCCGCCCTAGCCACGCCTCCCTTCCAGAACTTTTTGGAAAGTGACATCATGCCCCGGTCCCCCCTCCCTGGGTCCGGGGAATGTGTCCCAGGATCCGCTTCCCATGGATTATTGTTGGCCCCTTTGGGCCATGGTCATTAGCCCTGGCGTGAGAGCGCTTCCGCCCCCTGTTGACGAAAAGGGGGAGCTACCAGCCAACAGGGTGGTGAGTGCCGATTAACCCCCGACACAGCTCTTCGTTACTGGGGGTTATCTTTCCCATCCCTTCTCTCGCATCGGATCCCTGCAGCTCTCGTGTCTGATCCCCGCTCTTGCGTGTGAATCATGAACTCGAGTCCGATCGCTGCTCCTGAGTGGGATCCCTGCTTCCACGTCTGATTCTTGTTCGTGAGTCGGATCTCTGTTCGTGGGTCGAATGTTCGTGAGTTGGATCCCTGTTTGTGAGTCGAATCCTGTTCGTCGTGAATCGGATCCCTGTTCGTGAATCGGATCTCTGTTCGTGAATTGGATCTCTGTGAGTCGGATCTCTTTTCGTTTCTCTCCGCCTGATGAAGACCGCTTGTGTTGCGATCGAAACGTCGTGGATTTTTTTGGTTTTATTATTTTCACATTTTTTATTTAAATTTTATTTTATTATTTTTATTTTCTATCTACGCGACTTTACCGATAGAACCAATAATATATAGTCGGATCCCTGTTCGTGAGTCGGATCCCTGTTCGTGAGTCGGATCGCTGTTCGTGAGTCGAATTCCCTGTTCGTGAGTCGAATTCCCTGTTCGTGAGTCGGATCCCTGTTCGTGAGTCGAATTCCCTGTTCGTGAGTGGAATTCCCTGTTCGTGAGTCGAATTCCCTGTTCGTGAGTCGAATTCCCTGTTCGTGAGTCGGATCCCTGTTCGTGAGTCGAATTCCCTGTTCGTGAGTCGGATCCCTGTTCGTGAGTCGAATTCCCTGTTCGTGAGTCGGATCCCTGTTCGTGAGTCGAATTCCCTGTTCGTGAGTCGGATCCCTGTTCGTGAGTCGAATTCCCTGTTCGTGAGTCGAATTCCCTGTTCGTGAGTCGAATTCCCTGTTCGTGAGTCGGATCCCTGTTCGTGAGTCGGATCCCTGTTCGTGAGTCGAATTCCCTGTTCGTGAGTCGGATCCCTGTTCGTGAGTCGAATTCCCTGTTCGTGAGTCGGATCCCTGTTCGTGAGTCGAATTCCCTGCTCGGCGCTCGTCTGAAGACCACGTGGTTACCTATTCGGTCTATGAAATACAACCGCGTGTCGTTCCCATCCGGTCTGTGAAATGTAACCACGCGCCCTGCCTATCCTGTCTATGAAATCTACAGTCGAGTGCCACGTGTTTCGGGTTGCGTGCAGCTATCGGCGCTGCGCGGGTGAGTAAATGAGCCGAAGCAAAGTCGTAACTGTGCTGATTTCTCTTCCTCCTCCTCTCACGGTAGTAGTTTCACGAGACAACCGTGTGCGCTCCAGCGGAAGCTTTGCCGTGAGTTTTGTGGTCAAAGTGTTTTTTTTCTCAACAAAAACTGTGTGCGTCGCGTTATCAAAGCCTCGGCCTAGGCCACTTTACAGGGCGTACGCCAACTCGCACAGCCGCTGTATGTTTATTTACAATAATTACACAACTACGCGGGTTTAATTGTTCACAGCAATCTACGTTGTGGTCCGCTGTATTACCGGTTTGCCGTGGTTCCGTCATGGGCTAAGGGTGAGGAGTTTGCGTTTCGTATGCAGCCCTCCTCGCTTAATCCACTGCTGGATGAAGGCATCCCGTGTCCGTGTTGTTCCCCCCGGGGGTTGTTTGGCCATACTTCACCGCGTTTTGTCAGTGCGGTGTGTGGATGAAAGGGGGGGGGGGGGCGCCGTCACTGGCTCTGATACCAGTCGCCACGTGTTCGCCGTGGTCTGGAGTCGAACTCGTGACTCACACGCGCCACGTGTATGAATGTGCTGTGTTGTTACAATACTGGATTCGGTAGCACGTTGAGCACAAGTGTATCGTTTTAAGGGATAACTGGGTAGTAAAACGATGCAGCTTGATACAATTTATCAAGCTGTGTTAAGCAGAAATTATTTAAAGTTACTGTCAAAAATGCGTGCATATAAAGGCCGTGTCTTTGGTATTGTGTGGATGACGATTTAGATCGTGCGTCCTTTTTAGCTTCAACAAATCCCCAATCATTGTTCCGTTCTAGATTAAACATTCTGGAAATGAAGAGCATTCCCAAATGTCCTTGGCAGTGGTGCACAATTAACAAATAACTACGCATTCGTCAATAACACTTGTCTTACGTGGAAAATATGTAATAGGCGACGTTTTAGGCAATGGCTTGTCACAGTAAAATGTCCTATTGTACAGGACGTAACTAATTTGTTTCGTGTTATTTTTCTTTCAGATCGTTGAACGCTACCATTTAGCCCTTATGTTCAACAGTACACTTTCTCAAAAGACAATTGTAACTGGACACATTTGAATTATTTTCGACATTTCACCAACATTTGGAGAAGTGCAGATCCTGAGACTCCTTTCTAGTAACCATGGCACGTGAAACTGAAATTAAGTAGATTCTTGTGCAGTACATTTATTACGAGCCATGTGTGATCTTATGCTGAATTTGGACGTGTCTGTTGTTCCTGAGAACAACAAATCACAGAGTAGACAGCATGCAAGGGACATTCGCTTTATGAAGGGGAATAAAGCCCGTGAGAGGAGAGATAACTTGCGCCACCAGAAGTTACAGATCCAACAATTGGATACAATTCAACATCTAGACAAGCAAAATGTAAAATGCAAGCCAGAGTCCCCGACGAAAACGTATTTGAAGAAAAGCAACAAAGAAATGAAAGATGCACTCAATGGAACGATTAAACAGAGCAGTGTGAAATTGCATAGGAAAAACGAGAAAATTAAAGGTCACAACATGTTAGACGAGTTTTCCAATGGAGCTGCAAGGCCAGAGAAACAAGTCACCGTTACGGAAGATGTGCCAAAGACTTTTGCCAACAAGAATCCAAGCAGGTGAGTTGGTTCTCTGTCTGTTTTGCACTGCTACTTGGGTACAAACTTTAAATAAAATGGGAGTGTTCGGTCCAAATTGTGAAAATCAAACCTCAATCTAATTGCAGGTTTCTGCCATAAAATCCGAGTTAAATTTAGGATTTAAATATTTCGGTCACATTTTAATTACTGCATTGTTTTTATTTCAAATGAGACACTATTACCATCATGGGTTCATATTCAGGTTTTGCTACCTGTAATTGAAACAGACTCTTAAGTTATTTAGTGGTTTCAGCCCAGTCACCAATGAATCTTCAAAAACAATTTCGGCATGCACTTATTTTGCCAAAATTCCTTTGCATGAGAATTCATATATCAGTTTTCTCTATAACGTGAAAGGTTACACTATTCAGTGAGAGGTCCGAATGAAACGCGGATAGAACACCCGTGATAATTGGGGGATAATTACACACTCAAGACAGAAATAGGAACACATAACATAACACATTTTAAAGCCATGCATTAATCACGCAAACAAGTCAAGTATTACATTCTTTAATTTAAAGTAGTACAATCATTATGAGCCTTCGTCTTATAAATCAATTTCATGTGAGCCAGCCGCATTAAAGTAATGATCAGCCACGGCACAAGTATTGGTCCTGCCGTGTTTCAGATCTGCCTTATGTTCACGAACACGGTCCGAGACATGTCGTTTAGTTTCCCCAATGTAACTGCTGCCGCAGATACAGCTTAGTTGGTAGATGCTGGGATATTGCATGTCAGAATCTTGTCCTTCACAGATGGGATCAGGTCACGAATTTTATGCACTGTTAAATCGGACCTCGATCTTGTGTTTTTTCAAGTTTTTGGAAATTTTTTTGGATCTTTAGATGGCTCCTTGTTTGGATCTTTAGATGGCTCCTTCCTCACGGTTGGGGTGATGGCTTTGTGGATTGTGTAGTCAGAATATCTATTCGCCTTGAGAGCCTGGTGTACGTGTTTAAGTTCACTGGTCAAGTGTTCATGGTCGGAGATACATTGAGCTCTATGGTGTAGCGTTTTTATGAAGGAATTCTGGGATGGATATTGGTGGGAATCAGGTTTTAGGTAGGCGTCAGTATGGGTTACTTTCCTGTAGACAGTGGCTCATTGAGCCATCTGGTCTCTTTTTGATTAAGACATCCAAGAAGGGTAGCATGTCATCCTTTTCTACTTCCACGGTAAATTTGATTGCTGGGTGTATGGAATTGATGTGGTTGAGGAATTGTTCCAGAGCCAGTCGGCCATGTGGCCAGATGACAAATGTGTCATCCACGTACCTCTTCCACAAGGACGGGCGTAGAGTGGATGCCTGGATGGCGTCCGTCTCCAATTTTTCCATGAAAATGTTGGCCACAAACGGAGAAAAGGGAGAACCCATTGGAGTGCCTTCAGTTTGTAGAATGTTCCATTCCAAGTGAAGTATGTATTGGTGATGCAGTGTTTCACCAGGGGTGGGACATCAGCATTCAGTCCTTGTTGAACCAAATCTTCAATTATTGCAATGGTATCGGGCACAGGAACTTTGGTGAACAAAGAAATGACATCGAAACTAACGAGCAAATCACCTGGGGACAGTGAGATGTCTTTAATTGACGATACCAGATGCGCTAAGTTAAGTACAGAAGAGGTGGTTTTACCAGTGAATGGCTGCAAGGTCTCAGACAGATATCGCGCCAGTTTGTAGGTGGGTGAGCCAATGGTGGAGACGATGGGATGAAGGGGGGTGTACCTTCTTTATGGATTTTTGGTATGCCATATAGTCTGGGTGGTCTAGCAGCAGAAGGTATTAAGGAAAACCGTTTGGTCTGTTCAATTATTTGTATTCACTTCATTTTCATTATTGTTATTATTGTTTCTATCTACGTGACTTTACCGAAAGAACCATAGAATATGAATTCCTGCAGTCGAGAAAGTTTTAAGTCCAAATTATAGTTACTGTTCAGTGTCAATTGTTGAATTTCATCTCCACTACTCATGAACTTGAGCTGATAATGGGAAATTCCAGATGAGCATGTTATCAAGTTTTGTATTAGTAAACATAAAAAAACTGACATTTTACTTCATACCAGAACCCTTCAGATTTCTATTGGTTGTGGCACCTGTAGTTTATACAGTGGTTATCATTGTTTAGAATGAGCTATATATATTAAATGCATGTTGCAGAATTATACAGCATGGGTAAGCCTTCATCCAACAGTAGACAAATGGCAGTAAATTATTATTGTATAATACTCTTTGGTTCTTTCGGTAAAGTCACCTAGGTAGAAATAAACTAAAATATTTCTACCTACGTGACTTTACCGAAAGAACCAACAGTATGGATTCCTGCAGTCACGAAAGCTTCAAATAAAGATTGTATAATATGCTACACTGTCTTATGTGTTGTATGTGATGGGTGGTCTTCCAGGTATTTTGGCCTCGACTGTGAAATGGTGGGCACAGGGCCTGCTGGTTTGTGCAGTGAGCTGGCCCGATGCAGCATTGTCACCTACTATGGTGACGTTGTGTACGATCGCTATGTGAAACCAAGGAACCCTATCACTGACTACCGCACGCGATGGAGTGGCATCACTGCTAAAGATCTGTCCAAAGCCATCCCATTCCATCGGGCCAAGAAGGAGGTAAGGAACTGCACCTACTGCCAGTGACTGAAAGCAGCACATCGTACACTCGCAAATTTGGTTAAAGTATTTTTATGCTTTGCTTGTCACACCGCTAGCAGGCTTCACCCTCTTTCTTTAGCCGTTAACGTCATACTTGGCTTGAGTGAATTATGCGGTGCAATGATTAATCATGGGACATTTTTCAAAGTATTTAGTATGAGGCAGAAAGCAATTGAAACCTTAAGCAGGACCCTTCAATGAGTACAATTAATCAACCTATCGATATTTGGTGGCCCAAATTAAATAATTTTAGATTTTCAAGTTATTTTAATGTCCGACCACCACAATCATGATTAATTCAGTAATGGGAAAACTATTTGGCCTGGGCTGTTTCCCTGGCGAGGTCCTCCATGGCTCCTCCAGGAGCCGACAGACCAACAGATGCTCGGCGGTCTGTGTTTCACCGCAGTCACAGGTGTCCATGTCATTAGAGTAGCCCCACATCTGCACTTTGACTTTTGACTGGCCGACTCCAATTCAAAAGCAATTTAATCAGATCCAGCGGGGAGGTGTTCAGCAATGTCGATGTACATTTTGACGTCCTTGGTTATTGTCGAGTCATCTTCGCCACATTCCCAGTCATGTCGCCATCCGTGACTTTAACCGAGTTATGATTTTTAAAGCACATTTTTGAAGTTGTTAATGTAGACTGCTATATTTTTTCAGCGTTTGAGCTTCATTACCCATATAAAACATAATTGGGATTTATGTTAGTCACTGCCATAATAATTTTTATGTGTTATAAAACTTTAAGGCATATGTTTAGGAATTAATGCTTCCCCACAAATAATAAATGAATGTTCCGATTATAAAATGTGAAAAGTTAGATGTGCAAATTGGATGTGTGCCATAGATGAGGAGCTGACCAAACGTTACAGCCAAAGCAAAAATATGCTGCTGTGCAACACCAAGCTAACATTTTAATAATTAAAACAATGTCTCTATAAGCCATCACATTATGAATAATTGAGTAACTTTTTAAAATAAAATGGAGATTGCCTTCCGTTTTTGGTTCAAGGCCACCACATGTACTTTACCAAACATGTACTTCACTTTTTTTTGTGAGGATGTGTAATCGTCACACAGCGTGTTATTATTAGACTCATTAGACTCGTATCAGGCAGTCCTCGACTTGCGATTGGGTTCCGTTCCTGAGACCCGTTCATAAGTTGGAACACAATGTACTGTATTTAAATACACATACGGTCAGTGTTATACAATGTGTTAGTTCAACACAAAAGGAATCATCGTTAATTGTACGTTCGAACGTAATAAATACTGTATAGTAAATGAAAAATAAAATAAATATAAAAAGAACTAGTTTTATTTCTTATTTTTCTGTTTAAGTTACTTTATTTTACTTAACTTTTATTTTTACTTACATTATTTGTTATTTTATTTACTATACAGTATGTATTACATCCGAATGTACATTTCTTATTTGTGAGGTAAGTATAAATAAAAATGAAACTGGTTGTATTTTTACTTGCCTTTAGTAAGTAAAAATTAAACTAGTTTTATAAAGCAAGAGAGCAAAGTAAAACAAAAAAGAAAACTAGTTTTACTTTGCTGTCTTGCTTGTCAGAAGGGGCGTAATTAGTCCCCACAATTGCATACACACTTGGGGCCAGGTGCGCGCATGCACACACAGCAATTACAACGGTTCCCCATATAGCCTTAATCGTGCTGTTCGCGAGCAGTACCTATGAAGGCCTCCATGGCACACGACGAGGGGGTGGGTGGCCAACACCACCCCCGGCTGCTTTTGACTCCCCAGTAGCGGGGGGGGGGGGGCACGCACACTCACTTTCACACATGTGCGAGCGCGCACACAAAAACACTCTCAGCTGGATGGTGTGAAGCATTACATCTCGCAGAGGATTGCTCCTCTGAACGAAATAGTTAAGTGGTTCAGTTCACAATTGTGAGTTTGCAAGTCGATGTTAACTAATAAGGAAATCCCTTGGAAGCTGGATCTTAAGTACGGATGTTTGTTATTCGGGTGTTCGTAATTCGAGCACTGGCTGTATTAATTTTTTAATGGATATGTATGTGTTGAGCAGATTGTCCAGATCCTCAAAGACAAGGTGGTGGTGGGTCACGCCCTGCATAATGATTTCAAGGTGATCGGTGTGAAAGTAGCCGAGTCTCTGCAGCGAGACACATCACGCTCGAAAGCTGCTGAGAAGCATGGCAGGCCTCTCCACTCAGCGCATTACTTCCCTAAAGATCCTCGCAAAGATCTTGCTCAAAGAAGACATACAGGCAAGCAAAATTCTCATATATTGACTCGTCTTGTTCTGTTTTTAATACTTTTTCTGAACAAGATGTTTACTGTCGTTATCTCTGCTTCAACCCGACCACTGAGTGTCATGTTTAAATACAGGAATTACATTTTTATTCGTCATTAGAACTGTTTTATTAATTTCAACATATCGAGGGAAACATTGTAATATGCATGAGTTCTGGATTCGCGAGTTCCACGAGTTACTAAATGTATACAAATTCCCTATTCGCGAACCACCGGATTCCAGTATTCATGAGTGTACGTGCCAGACCACCAACACCGGGGAGGTGCGTGCAGAATTTTACATTTGAAACTTTTAAGATTTAGGCCCCCCCCCCCCTGCCAGCTTAGTTCTCAAGTCTCACAGTAATCCTGCTCTGAACTCCCTATTGTGCATTTTTACTTCATACGTACTTACAATAAGTCAACTCATTTGTACATTTTGGTATTAACGAGTTGACTGAGGTCCATTAAAAATTATGTTTTTTTGTTGTATTTTTTACGCGAATGAGAATTCCCTCCCCCCCGCACGGAACGTGTGTGCGTCGCTAGGGGCGCGTATGCGCAGACGCGTGCTTTGGCGTGCGCTCGGAGGCGCAATGTAATAAATAACAAAAAACAGCATTAAATTGCGAATTCAACTATTTTAAACGTGACGGACGTGAAATTGGAAGTAGTGCTGGCTCACCACGGGGCTTATGGCGTGCTACCTGGGTACTTTTTTAAACGTTAACCCCACGGTTCGTGAGCCAAATCCATCGCAAGTGTCAGCCACACGCAGACAGACGGACAGACAAAAATGCCTTTTATAGGTTAGATTTACCCTTTTCTCCCCTATGTTCACTCCTACCAGGAACGTAACCCAATTGGGACAAGGTTTCTGCAATTCCAAATTCTGCATTTGCGAATGTTTTCAAGAACGTAACACTCGCAGATGGAGGATTTACTGTAATTTAATACTGAGAAACTGTGGACCAAAATAGCACACACTATCCAACCGTGAATTATATTAGACATTGATATACTGTACATATTTCATTTTTGGTAGTATATCAGTTTGGGAATTTATTTTTACTGAAGGTTTCAACTTTAGGTTGATCTGCCCTGCCTATTTTATTTTGCTGTTGTGTTTTCATTATTTTTATTTCACACTTAATTATTTCGTGTAAAAAGATATTTTAAACCTAATTATGGCGTTGGAGTTTTTGTCAGTTATCCACAGTGTACGGATTTCAAAGATGTATTTAGCTTACCTGTTTTAATAATGGTGTTCCTAAACTATTTTCAAGTCCTAGGTCTTGCCGTTACCACAGGTGTATAAATGCTTCATAGTGTAGTGAAATAACTTTCTGCAAGTGCTTTATTTTTTCTTGAAGTATAAACATTTCAATTTATATAAATGAGTACATTTGTATCCTTTCTGATATCTTTAAATCTTCAATTACCATATTCAATTTTATTCACGGAGAGATTTAGATATGTTTTTATTTAGCTGGAGCAGCTTATTGGCCTAACAGTTAAGTCATATCTGGGTTGGGTTTTGACAACTAACATTCAGCTTCATTCTTCTGATAATGTGTGTGTACTGAAAAAAATAACAGTTTTTTAGTTTTTACGTATGAAAGATTATTTACAAGAGAAGGCCTCTTTGTATGCCATTTTACTATTGCCAATTTGACATAATTGTGCAAACTGTTTCCTCCTTTGATTATTTATGGAAGTCTCCTGAGTTAGGAACAGCTTTGCTTGGTATTCATGATTTTCTGGGCTACATGACCCACTGTAGAGTAGTGAACATTCCCCCTGGTTAAATTCTAAATATTATTTATTTAATTTAGTAAACGTGAAAACATTTTGATTTGTGATTGTCTGCCGTTGTATGTGCACAGATGGGAACTGATGGACATTCCTCTGTGGAGGATGCTTGGTCAGCCATGCAGCTCTTCCGCTTGGTTCAGATTGACTGGGAGAAGGAGCTTGATGGGCAGGCACAAGAAAACCCCCAATCAATCGAAACACAAGTGGCTGCATTGCCAACTCAAAAAGCTGCCAATTGTAAAGTGGAAGTCACATTCAAGCCAAAAGTCAAAAACATGATGGAAAAAAGCAATGAAGAGCTATTTAAATGTTTAAATTTAATGCTGGGGAAAGATAAGGAACATGAATGCAAGACTGGCAAAGATCTGTTTGTTGCTGGAACAGAGAAATGCATCGCAAGGGAAGAAAAGGACAAACGCAGAAAAGGACGTGAAATTTTAGGAAAAACAGATGATGAATCGCTGGTAACTTTCATCACCACAGGAAAGAAGAGGAAACATAAATGTAAAGTGGTTGAGGATCGTAATAAAACCTCAAATTTGAAGAAACCATACAGTAAAAAATGTGATGGATCCAAACACGTTGTTTTTGCCAAACACGTTGTTTTTGCAAAACACCAGGCAAAAGATAAGGCAGAACCAGCAAGAAAGAAAAGGAAAAAGTCCACATAGTCAAAAACGCTACCCCAGGTGCATTCCGAAGGGGGCTCATGCAAACTCAACCGAATGTACAAATTGTACAATTCTGAAATGTGCAAATTTTATGTGACTGGGCTCACGTGAAGAAGGGGGATATAGTCAATGAAAAAAGAAAAAAATCATTAAACCGTGTAATTGAGAAAATGAATACAAACTACCACAACCAAAACACAGTGTGCTGAGATGCAAAGTGAAATGATAAAATTGCCAGTTGAACAAGTTGTCTGAGATTTAATCAAGAAACATATTGAAAAATAGTAAATCTAGACAAAAACAATGCCAAGAAAGCAGCAGCAAGAACTAATATAAAAGCAATCCGCTTGAGCCTGTTTCCGATGAATCGAGGTGAAAAGTGTCCCACCGCTCCAACAATGGTGTTGCATTCTTCTGCATTTAAGTTCTCAAGACATTTTTGGTCCACATTCCAAATTCTTATGGAGATGGCCAGTCTATCCACAAAATGATATGTATTTTATTGACCATGGAGGGGCAATAGTCAACCGCCAACTGGCGTAAGAACATAATGTTTAATATGAGAAACTGGAAATACAGTTGCATATATACTTCAAATCCAATTTGTAACTTTTATTGAGGATCGGAAGGGTGTGTTCATATTTCAAAAAGTGGTATAGAAATATTTCAGTATGAGCTTCATTGTTGTTTACCCTTATTATATTTCACTTGTAAATTAGAGATGAATATGGTATGGATGAGTTTTACAACGTTTTTGAAAAATTATATTGCAGGATCACCGCGGTTTTTGACACCATGTACAGCTCTGGTCTATGGGATCTCGACCAATGACATTTAATTGTTTGTCCAAGTAAATACTTCCACGCCTTGATGAATCTTACTGTACTATGCAAAATTGTTGAACACTTTTCCATTTGCGGGACACTGGAGTCATCTCAAAACAATAAACAGTGTTCATAAGTTTAATGTTATTTTTTAGCTGATGGCAGAGGCTTGATGGGGGGGAGTTTATGCTCATAATTTGGTCACGAGAATGATTTACGAATGCAAAATAAATTAGCGTCACTTATTTCATTCGTTGCCTAGCATTTAAAGATTTGGCGCCTCCATATTTTTGTCAAGTTTTACAGGTAGGAACAACAGTTCCACACTGCCCACCAGGGATTATTTGTCTGTCGTGCATAGCCCCTCCCAAACATGTACACTCCCGGATTGGTTGAAGTGTGTCACGTGACCGTGAGCTTTCTGTCGTGCACGAATGCGCTGTCCCACCAAGTTCCTACCTGCCCACTCCGAAGGAACGTGTTTCAGTCGTGCGAACTGTCGAGGTCTCAGCTGAAATGATGGTCCATTGACCCAGTCATGGTGAGGTAATCGTGCATTTGCCTGTATTGAGACTTTGGAACTCTGCCTTGCTATTTCCAAGACAAATCTTGATACATTTTGACAGTTTTTACAAGAATTACTTTGTCAGAAGATTATTATTAAGATTATTGTGTTATATTGATGTCTAAATTAGTACATTGTATTTAATATATCGATCATGTGCCCAAATATTTGTTTTATGCAAAGAAACGCTTTCGCATATCTAAATGTATTTACAATAAAAAATATACAAGTCCAGCACTGTGTATTGCAACTTACCACATGGTGAATGATATCTGCTGTTGGTGCCTTATGATGACTGCATCTGAACATTTCAAGCTCTGTTTAACACAGGCTTTCGTGACCAATATCCATAGGAGATTTTGGGTTGGATCGGGTAAATGTGTCGTTAAAACCGCCACCATCCGACACAGCCAATTAGTAATGTTTATCACGTCAATTGGCATGCTTTGTTTCCGTGACAAACCTTACTAATTGGCTGTGTCCGGTGGTGGCAGGTTTAACGACACATTTACGTGATCTAACCCAAAAAACCTCATGGATAAATGAAAACTTCTTGCAGTTTGAATGTTTCAACAATTATTTTTGTAAAAATCGATACATCACCCTAAGCACATGAAATACAGTTGTGTACAAACAGCTACACGTATTAATTCTAGATTTGAAGTTTTCGTGACTGCAATGATACATACTCTTGGTTCTTTCGGTAATATCACGTATGTCCATGTCCATGTGCTGTATGAATAATTGCACAGACATTTAGGCTTTGACTCGAGCGATCACCAATTAAAGCTTATAAAGGGATGTGGTGCCTTCGTATGCTACTTGTCTTCTCAGTTTGGATATTTTAAAGTCACACAAGCCAATCATTTAAATCCGCGTTGACCTATAGGATGCCTCGGGCATGTTCAAGAACAAGTTGGCATGTTTACTTTGCCCGACCCAAATAACCCAGGCTGCCAGGATTGCGGTGCAGATTATGAACCACAGCTTCCAACGCTTCCCACCTGAGGAACGTTCATCTGAGGATGTATTGGATGTCCCAAACTCCAAATATATAACCAGACAAGCCACATTTGGAAGTCTATATTTCTGTAATAAAGTATTATGTTTATGGTGTTGAAATATGTTCAAAGTATAACAACTATGTTATGAACTAAGCCACAGCACAATGTATTTGCAACATTTTAAAGGGTGTCAATGGTTTGACAATGGGATATTGAATTTACACAACTCTTAATACAGCAACCCAGACAAGCAATGTAAGGAAACCATTGGGTTGTCCAGGTCTCGCATTCGTGCTCTTATTCTATAATTATTCTGTAATATATCACTTTACAAGGAAAATCATTTTGGTGGGGCTTTTTTTGTCCAATTATGTTTGAGTACTGGTATTTACGATATTATATTTCAACTTTATTCCAGATGTTACATTTTGCATTAAAAATACACATTTAAATGAATCTAACTATTTCATTGTAATTTATATATATTTTAAATAGTGCTGAAAAGGATTATAAAGATTGTTGTGGAGCTGTGTAAATTTACGAAAATGGCACATTTGTGTGAACTGCTAATGTTCTCGGTAAACCTGGAGGCATGCACATCCATCATCCCAGCCAGATGGAGCTGATAGAAGATGCACATTTTATTATCGATTAAAGCTGCTGTTAAATAATACAGGACACCTGAAGGCGTTAGTTCATATTCCTTTTGGCATTGCTTGCCTAAATTACGTAGGGAAAGAAATGAAACTGCCATGTTTGGAAATGAACGGTCAATTGACATGCTGTAATGAAAGCTGAGAGCATCTACTCAAACTTCCCCAAACTTAATCCTGCTAGCATTTACACTTCAATAATTTAGGTATTGGCAACAGTGTCCTGTGCTTCAAAATGATCCATAGTTCTCATGAGCGTAATCGATGAGTGCACATACTTATTTGATATTCATGATTGTGTGGCCTTTATTTCTGCCCATATAAAAAGCAAGGGTGATGGGGGGAGAGTAATGTAATGCAAGTGGCCGATGAATGGAAGTTGGACACCATCCAATAGCTCATTAACATTCATTTTGTGTCTGCACAGCATCGGACTGCTTCCATATACAGTACAGAAATCATTACTTTGCATGTTGAATACAGTGCAATGTTTCGTATTTATTTACAACTATATCGAAATTCAGATTTATAGATTACAATAATGTACAAACATTTAGCATTGTATAATTTAGCATTTTATATTTTTAAAAGGTAATATATCGGCAGGGGCAAGGTTAAGTAAAGTGGAAGAGATTGAAACAGCCAAACTAAGGAAAAGGATACTTAATTTTAATTGAATGTATAAATAAAGGATGAATATGTTTTCATGCTTTATTGATTTCTGTTGATAGGTGGAAATTCCACGAAGTTGATTTTATTCCAATTTAGGTACAGACAGTCCCTGACATACGTACACCCGACTTCTGAACAGTCAGTCGCACTTACGAACCAGCTTCCATGAAATATTTTTTTACATCTACTTAAAACGCAAACTCGCACTTGCAAACTAGGAGGAGGGACTGTTTTGGTAGCGGAATAATCCTCCGCGAAATGTAATGAGTCAGCCTCGCGCTGGGAGTAAATATTCATGCGTGTGTGTGAAAGTGTTTGTCCGGCAAAACAACCCACTACCTCCTCGTTGGTGCCGGACGGTAACGCTGTGGTAAGCAGTGCCGTGGGGGGAGGCCCAATTTTGATTGGCCATTCCCTGCATTACGTTTCTAGCCACCACAACGGCCAAAGGGGGCTCTGGACGGGTGCGAAGGGCTGGTAAACCACTCTACCTTCAATTAATTACCACTAAACCACGAAAAAAATATCCAGCTAAACTTGTGCCAGAGGCCCCGAGGGGACAGGTGTCTATGACGTCTCGTGGCCAAACCACATTTGGTACAGCCAGGAGATTGAACCCTTACCTTCGGGGTTCCTCCAGAAACAGCAAAAAGCCACTACGGTTGGCCACGTGGAATGTTTGAGGCTCCGGTTTGACAGCAGAGGGTCTCACTCCGAATCAGTCAAGCGGCATTATTTTTTAATCGCCTGCGTAGCGCTGTGTGGAAGCTACCTGGTCTGTCGCTCCACACGAAGTTTCAGGTCTTCTCAGCCACGGTCATTCCCTCCTGTACACCTGTGAACCGTTGCCGGTTAGAAAA